TCAGTCTCCAATAGTTGAGTGCTGGCCCACCACCTATTTCTCGCCTCCCCTTTGGGCCCTTGTTTAATTGACTTGGCATAAGTCCTGTGCTCGATGCCACCATTGCTACAAGTTCACATTTGCAAGCTTCCAGGGCCCAAAAGCCTCTGTGTTCATCAACCAGCCCTGGTTCTTACAATCTTTCCACCCCGTCTTCTGCAATGGTCCCTACATTCTATCCTACATTCTGCATTCTCTTATTCTTTAAAGCTTGGCCAGTTGTGGCCTTCTGTGTGCATCACATTCAGTTGTGTAAGGAAGCTTTACTGGTCAGAGTTGACGGGTGCATTAGTTTTCTCTCTATCCCTTGTTCTTCTATGTTCCATGAGCCTTAGTTGTAGAAGTCCAACTAAAGATGTGTCACCTAGTACTGGGCATCTCTCAGATGTATGTTCTCTGTGTCTGACCAGATGTGCAGTTCTGTAGTAGCCTCCATCTGGTGCAAAAAGAAGCTTCTTTGATGAGTGGTTATGGTATGCTTGTCTGTGAATATAAGGGTTGATATTTGGCATACAGTAAGAAGTTTGTCTAGAGATATGAAAGAGATGGGGTTTTCTGTAGGATCTATGTCCTCTCCTGCCATGTACATTGGCTGAATTTACAGTGCCACCCATGAGTTCACTCCTATTGAGAGGGCTTTAAGTTCAATTAGACAGCTGTTGATTGCCCCCAAGATAGCAGTGCCACTACTGTGCCAATAGAGGTAGTTTGCCCTGCCAGTCGTTAGGATTATTAGGCTTTAGGGCTGGGTTGGACCATTGATTGTTTTTCTCCCTTGGAAGTTTGCATATCATCATCTAGCATTATGATAGCCAAAGAAGGCCTCCAGGTCAGTCCCTGCTCCATAGTTTCAAGTCCTGTATCTGAAGTATACCCTGTCTTAAGCAGTAGGGTCTTATCTACTAGTTTTGGGAGATAACTAAGAGGTTTGGTAATAGCCTGTGTTATTTTGGGAGTCTCCTGGACCACCCTCACCAACCATTCAAGGGGAGGTCTCTTCTGTCTGGCACTGTGTTCCTTGCCAAGCAGCTCCCAGGTATACATATGCATTAACGTTTAGATTCTGTATTTGCATTTCTCATGGGGTTTCCAGGGCATCACATTTCCCTCTAGGTTTCCTAGCCCCCGTCCCCTAAGATTCATTCATCTAGTCTTTTTTCTCCCATCGGGCCTCTCTCCCTAGTCCCAGCACCCCCGTTAGCCCCACCCTCCCCACAATACCACCCGCCTCCCACCATCCTCTTTTGCCTGACTTCCCTCCCTCCCCAACACCATGGCCCCTTGCATGTCCCTCCCTCCTCTCCTCCCTAGCAGAAATTAGATTTTTAAAAAGTCATTTCCATCAATTTCTGTCTTCTGTTTGGTGAATTTTACCATTTACTGATGTTTATTGATCTGTTAGGCTTAACTCTGTTTTGTTTCTCTATGCTCCCTGTTTTCCATTTTCTCAGTTCACCTGAACATAATTTAGAATTCCATTTTTAGCTGTAGTGCTTCTCAGTCTGCAGTGTATCTTTTTATATAGATTCTTTCTTAGTGGTTATTTTAGATGTTACATTACGAATGCTTTTTATAAATAACTTTTTATAACTTGTCGGTATTTTACCAGTTAAAATATAGAAATTTTGCCTTCTTTTAAATCCCCTTACCCTCCCCTATTTGTAATATACTTTGTCTTAAATGTTTCTTCTATATCCATTGATAATCATACAAGTGTTATAATTTTTATTTCAACCCTGTAACTTAGAAAAGAAGGAAAATGTAAGTATATTGTATTACCCAGTTTTCCCTGTCCATGTTCCTTTATCCTTCCTGAATTTTGATAACTCCTTTTGTCATGATGTTTAGATAATTTCCTTTTTGTCATTCTATAGTAGATGTATAACTGACACATGCTCTTAGTTCCCCTCAGAATATTTTCATTCCTCTAAACAGACACAAAAACTAAAAGTGTAGCTCCACTCCCATTACCAAACCTTTGGCCTTTGGGATGTATGGGTGAGGGTATGTGTAGAGCAACAAGTTTCGTTGTCCTTTGGGGTTTCATTTTGTTTTGGTTTTTGGAAGGGGAGCAAGTGGACATTAGCTTAAAAAGGTTTCTGTCTTGCCAGGCTGCCTATTTCTTGCTTCCTTGGCTAGGGAGAATTGGATAGAGTTCTTTCATTTGGACATTTTTAATGAGTACTAACAAGGTTGCTGGTGTCACTAGCATCTGGTCTGAAGTGCACAAAGCTAAATTAACTCATTCATCCATTCCACACAGTTCTCTTTCCCAGGGTCTCTAATTGGTTGCCCTTCTTCTGAAGATATTGCCCAGGTGAAACTGGAGACCAATTCATTTCCTTATTCACAAGTAGTATTCCGTTGTGTAGACTGTTCATACATTTCCCAGTTAATAGATATTTGAATTGTTTTCATTTTTCAACATTTATAAGGAAAACTGCTGTTTTTATGGACAGATCTTTATGTGAACACATGCTGGTACCTATTTTTTTTCTTCTCTTCAGACTGTCTTAAGCCTGTACAGTTCATGTTCCTTTGACTTGTAGCAACAAAGTTCCAGTGGTAGCTTTGTGGAATTTATTGTTGATTCTAAACTATATATATATTTGTAGTTCATGGAATTCTCTGTTCTTTAGTATTACTGAAAGCACAGTTTCATCTATAGTTTTCCTTGTGTTGCTCACTAAACTTTTGATTTGGGGAAATAATGTGTGGAAAGACTCCTATCCTAGTAGTTGTCATCTTATTCCTGTTTTTACTTCTCTACATCTTTTTCCGTGATTTGTTACAGTAATCATTTTCTTCCAAGTTCCCTACGCTTTCTTCTTCTCTTAATCTATTACTTACTTTGAAGAATCTTAACATGAAAGCATTAAGTTTGGGTCAGGATATTGTTTGTGAAAAACATAGACTGATTTTACTTCAAATTCTGCATCACTGGGCACTTAAACATTTGCTGTGGAAATTCTTTTTTTTTAATGTGTATGAGTGTTTGGCTTGTATGTATGTGCACCACATAAGTACCTGATGCTCATGGAAGCCAGAAGTGGGCATTGGATCTCCTGGAACTGAAGTTATAGATGACTGATAGACCCCATGTGGGTGCTGGGAACTGAACCCAGGTCCTCTGCCAGAGCAGTCAGTACTCTTAACCACTGAGCCGTCTCTCAGTATGGGTTCCCGTGCCGTGTCCTGGATATTGGCAAAATTTGAGTGAAGTTTAAAGATTAATTAGTATTATTAACATTAATCAGTGTTGGTTTCCTGATTTCAGTAGCCCCACTATGGTTATACTAAATGTTAACTTTGTGTATGGGTATATCAAAACTCTATGTGTTATCTTTACAACTTTTTTTAAAGTCTTGAGACTTTCTCGAGTTTTCTCAAGTTTTTTATTTAATTGTGTGTACTTGCATATTCAACCCTTGTCTGGAGTTCTCATGTCCACTTTGATGTCTTACAAAACCACAAACCTCACACATCTTTGTTCTCATGCCTGCCCACCTTCTCCCATAGTCTCAGCAAATGTTTGATTCCACCTTGTGTTCTTATGTCAGGATTTGTGTTTTTCATCTCTAGACCTTCATCTTTTAATATTTTCTCTCTCTCTGTAGAGCATATAAAATGTAACTTTTTGCATGTCCTTTATCTTTAATTCTCTTTCCTGTCATTTCTGCTTCTGTTTTGATCGGGTTTTCTTTTCATTGTAGGTCGTATTTTCTTGTTCTTTAAATTGGACACTGTGAAGTTCTCTGAGTATTTTTTTTTCCTCCTATAATGTACTTGAGCTTTTGTTTAGGTGTCAGTTAAGTTACTTGGAAACAGTTTGTCCTGTTTATAATTTGGTTTTAAGCTTTGTCAGACAGATGAGAGTCTGTATCATTGAGCTAGCAGGAGGCCTACCAGCCACAGAGGAAAGCTGTTAGGTGATGGGTGACACCTCACTGGTGAGAAAAACACTTTTTCGGCCTGTGCTTTGTTTGTTAGTTTCAGAATTTTTTGAGTTTGATTTTTGATGCCCAGTTTTGTAGAAATGAGTCTTAACCCATTTTTTCTCTTTCCTTGGCAGCACATCATTTGTATTTCATCCATATTTGTGATCAGTGGGTTTTGGACAGAAACAACAGGTGTTGCTCAGTAGCCTTGATTTTCAGATATAGCAGAGTTCATGAGTTTCTGTAGGGCATTAGGAAAGGAAGACCCTTAGACATTAAACCAGCCAACTTAGTAATAATTAGTGAGAAAATTTGAGAAACAAATCATTAAGTTGTACTCCATGATTTTGTAAATAGCACTACATTCCATAAAGTAGATTGGGTAACCTTGGTTTTTATAGTCTTCTAAAGTATTTTCTACAGAATGATAGAGGAACTATTACTGAGAATCAGCATAAAAGGCACAGAATTACATGAGGCTTGTTTTATATTTATGAACCAGATTTTAAGTAAATCCACAACTGTTTCCTTGTGTGTCATTCATTCTTTAGCAGAGGATCTGGTGTCGTGGAACTGGCTTGGTTTGTAGTTTCTCATTTCCTTTTTAGAAGCCAAAGCAGTTTTGATGTATTATCAAACCTCAGAATGTACCTTGAGTATTTACTAGGAGGAAATGTATTCTATGGTGGTCTGAGTACTAATCGTGTCATTCCTGTTTAATCCTGTTTAGAAAATGATCATGTAAATAAGCAAATACATATATTTTAGGTAATTGGTATATCAGAACTGCAAAAGTGGGAAACAATTTTTAAGGCCTTCAAAAATATTAATTTCTATTTAAAGAAAATGTTTTTTAGGGTTAGGGTGTATCTCTGTGGTAGAGCACTTGCCCAGTAAATGTGAGGTCAAGGTACATTCCCAAACCCCACAAGAAAGCCAAAAAAGGGGAGGGGGTAATATATTATGTTGTTTTTAAATATTAAATTAAAACTCCAATTTTAAATTTCTCTTGCTCTGCTCCAGTGTCAAGGCATGCCATGGGTTGCCTCTCATGAATGGACAAAGCTGTGATCCTTATGCAACAGTTTCTCTAGTGGGTCCTTCTAGGTAATGTTTATTGAATTCCTATTGGGTTTTTCATGTTTAAAATTGAATTTAAGAATTGGAAATGCAAAGTATTTACAGCCAATGCTAAGTAACTGACACAAAATAATAGTTTGAAGGAAGAATCTAGTAAGTTCTATTATACACTTTTAAACAACAAGTCCTGTTTTTATAGAAAGTAATCTGGTGTCATTTCACTTATGCCCTATTGTTAGGCTGTAAGCCAAACCTCAATGTTAATACTGTTAAAATCTATCTTAAAACATAAGCCTGACTGTCATCACTCATTAGCATTCCTACTTTTAAATGCCCTCAATTTACTGCAGGTAAAATCCTGTTTTAGTAAATGTCAACTCAGAATAACAAGGTAATTTCCATACTACTATCTGGAAAGCAGCTCAGAATTGGAAACTGCCTTTTTTACTCATGAGATTTATGGGTAATGGAGAGAATCCCAAGCTCTAGATGAACTACTAAAGTACTAGAATGTGGTAACTTGTACGTAGCATTGATTTAAATGGTCTGTAACTCAGGAAAAACCTGTAGTACTTTGCAATATTTGATTTATATAACTTCATTATGGTTTCTTTAAGAGACTGATTAGTCTGAAATTTTTCTACAACTTGATGCTGTTAGAATCAAGAAACAAAAAGCACAGTATTTGTTCTATACAAACACCCATACAGATAGACATACCCCTTTCTCCCTTCCCCAAAAACTCTCTTCTTTTTTTAAATTACTTGATCTAAAAAATGTGTTTTTAAAGTACTTAATACCATGGGTGCTAAGATATTAACATAATATTATTATTACAAATTGGTTTTAAATTTAAAAACAAGTAATCGTGTAACACTAAATGCTGCCTAGAGGTTTCTTTTTGCATGTTAAAAATGTTCAGTCTAGCTGGATGTGCATGTATGATATCAGTACCTGGGATGCAGAAGCAAAGGGTATCACAAATTCTAGGGCAGCCTGAACTATATTGTTAAGTTCTTTTCTCAAAAAGCAGTGGGAGGTAAATCAACCCAGAGGAGCTGCCTTTTGAAGAAACTTTTGGCAGTGATTGGATTTGAACCCAGGACCTTACACATGTTAGGTATTGCTCTCCTGGTGAGCTATATCTGTAGCTCAGGAAGCTCTTTTTTTCTGTTTAATGATTTTTTTCCAGCAGATAAAGTATTTAATTAACTTTTAAAGTAACATACAATTAGAAACTTTAAAAAAAAATTGTGCTTATACAACTATAGATACATAAGATGTTCACATTGGGGGAGTCTGGGTAAAGGCACAAGACTTCCCTGTACATTTCTTTGTAACTTGCTCTGAATTTTATTTACTTGAAAATTAACAGTTGAGGTTTTTTAAGTCACTGTTATAGCTGATGCCCAAGAAGTAAACTAAGTTGAAGAAGTGCTTTTCACGTTCCTCGAGTGTTTTTCAACATCAGTAAAGGCACTCTAACTCTTTTTTTCTCACCCCTTTTTCTGAGTTGCTCATGTAATAGGATATGTTTTAAAACCCCTGATGAGAACCTAGCAATTAGTCTCTATTTATAGTCGTGGAAACAAGAGTCCAATTTTGGCACATACAGATCTATCAAACTTTATTGTGGATGGATGGGTGGATGGGTGGATGGATGGATGGATGGATATATCTGGATAATCTTTGAGTTTGTGAGGACACACTGGCTTTTTTTTCTCACATAATTTGTAAACTATAGTCTTCTCTCAGTTGTCTTAACATTTAAACAGAGGCCAGGGTTCTGGTTGGAAGTAGCATGTTTTATAATTGTGTACTGTTAAGTTCTACAAGGTAAAACTCTACCACATTGGAACAGGAATGACCAAAAGAAGACAAAAGTAAAGAAGAAAACAAGCAATCCGCAGTTTAATGAAATCTTTTATTTTGAGGTAATTTCTTGATTTATATAAATGCTAACAGTGAATATTTAATAATGAATTCTAATTGATTTCCTTTTCTAAAGTACAGTCATAGTAATTAACTAATGTAATTATAGGTATATCCAAAAAACAATAGAATCATGATATAATGCACATAAAATGTTTAAAAGAAGAGCTCTGATTGCTTTGAAATTAGGAAAGACTGGAGCCATACCCACTCCATGGTCATCCTCATTGTCACAGCCTCATCCATACCCTTCCTAGCCTGTCCATGCCACCTGGCACATGGTGACTCTTCACACTGAAAGCCTCTAAAATATTACCACTAAGAAGATCTGACATCTAGTCCCAGTTGACTTTGAATGAATCACTAAATGTGAAGCTGGAGTTTCTTACTTGTGAAAGTATATTATAAGTGAAAGCAGTAGCAGCTTTACCCTACTCAAAATTCTTATAGTGCCCCAGACCAGAGAACCCTTGAGAGTAGAAAGTGCTTCATGATTAGACCTTATCATTGTTACATTCTTCTAGTCTAGTTCACTCTGTAGACATATGCCTATTTATTTTCCTGTAGATCTTCAGCTGCCTTGAAATTGTTCCAAATACAGTTCTTTGGTGTTCTCTAAAATATTTAATAAATCCTTTTTCGTATTACTTGAAGACTATAGGAAAAAAATGAAAAATCAAACTCTTAAAGATTGTATATAATCATGGAACAAGTTGGAGTTGATATTAACATGTGAGAACAGTTTGGAAAAAAGGAGTCACATGTGAAGTATAGTTGTCTTTTACCGCATATAGATCACAGTATAAGTCTGTTGCAATGAGTAGATAAGAGAATGTGAATTTTCTGATACTAGACAGGATGTCTTTATGTATTTTTTTTCTTTTGTATTTTTCCTCTATTTTAGAGAGGGTACCAGAGTTTGTACTTTAATAAAAAGGAAAAAAAGCTGAAGAAATGCCAAAGGTAAAATAGGAAGCTGTGGGGGGTTAGAAGCAGAGGAAAAAAGAAAATGTACCAATATGAGACTTCCTTTTCCTGACTAAGGATTTGGTGAAGTCGTCTACATTTTTAATCACTCTTATGTCTAACCTGGAGAAAAGAAAACAACAGTTTAAAAGGCTGCTGACAAGTCACTCACTCTATCAATCTACATGCCTCAGACCTCAGATGGAATGGAATTTACTATGATCATTGGGTCGTGTAACCAAGCGGATTAACTCTTTGGAAGTCAAAGTCTGAACTGCTCACTATGCCAGTTTACCTGTTAAACCTTGAAATACGTATTTGGTGAGCTCTTTGTTAAATTGGTTATAAAGATAGAGTCGGTTAAGTGGGAGTTAGAGTCAAAAGCCACACACATAGGTGTATATACACAGCAGTGAAGTGCAGCAGATCCTCTTTGAGCTGAGGTGGCCAGAAATGGCCTGAAGAAAGACTAGATTTTCCTAAGTAGAAGAAAGAGAATATTAACAGAGAAGGAGCATTTTGGGCACAGAGACAGGAAAAGAAAAAATTGTGTCCAAAGAACAGCAAATAGTGATTTAACTGAGTTTGTTCAAGAAAACAACCAGAACTAAGATTAGAAACATGGAATAAACCAGCCAATGAAACCTTCCAGGGTCTGACTCAAGTGCTTTAATTTTAGCCATTGAATGTTTTTGAGCCTAGAAGTGATAAGGGGAAGCCATGTTTTAGAAATCTCTTGGCCTTAGGAAAAGAGAAAAACAAAGAGCTAGAGACTGTTGTGGTTTAGACAGACAGCTGGGGGAGGAACAGATAGGAAGGGTACTTCAAAGGCCAAGACAACAAATTAGTTATAGAAGAAAAGGAAAACAAATCAGTGAGCATATGGTTTCAGACTTGGAAAAATAGAAAAATTTTGGAGCCAAAGAAAATGGCTTTAGTTTGAGTCATAACAAGCTTGAGATCCGTGTAAAAATCCCCCAACAGGTGTCATATGTAGTGCATGCCTGTAATCCCCGCCCTTGGGAAGGGGGAGGCAAGGAGGATCGAGAGATTCAAACCAGCCTCAGCTACATAGTGCAAGTGAGGCCAGCTTGAGCTAGCCTATTTCAAAAACCAAAATGAAGACAAAATTTTCAAATACATGTGATGGCTATAGATCAAGATAAAATTTGCCAGATGTGGTGGTACATGTGTTTAATTTTAGCACTCAGGAGGCAGAGGTAGGCAGATCTCTGAATTCAAGGACAGCTAATTGATGTTAGTCAAAGGTACATAGTGAGCCTCTCCCTGTCTTTAAAAAGAAAGTTAGAGTCAAGAAAACCTAAAGAGGGGCTGGAGAGATGGCTCAGTGGTTAAGAACACTGATTGTTCTTGCAGAAGACCCAGGTTTGAATCCCAGCATCCACATGGCAGCTAACAACTGTCCGTAACTCCAGTTCCAGGGGATCCGACAGCCTCTTCTGTCTTTCCTCCACGGGTGTTGCACAACACGGGTGCACTTACCTACACACAGGCACTACATGCATACACATAAAATAAAAATAATAAATAAAATATTTTTTTAAAAAAAGAAAACCTAAAGAGTAAAAGGATGAAACAAAGAAGAAAAGCAAAGATGCTCAGCTCTGGTACATTAGCTCTTCAACTTTGCACATGCTAATTCTTGTGCTTTGACTTCCTCGTCTTTAAGATGAGGATATTAAATCTAGCCCTGCCTGCCTCAAAGCAACATTCTGATGAACAAAAGAGATAATGGACGTGAAAGCACTTTATAAGTTGTGCAGCACTGTGTGGCTTTGTTTTCAGAGCAAAATAGAAAATAAAACCACATGTATATAAATTATGAGGAGGAAAAGAGTAGAAGACTGCCACTACCATCCCCAGGTAAGCTCAAAGCAAGGAGCCTCTGGACTAGGTCAGAGAGAGAGTTCAAGGACAGAGCAGTACAAGTTGTTATCAGATTTGGTGATGTGGAGAGAGATTTTAGAAGGGTGATCTGTAAGGAAGCCAGATACAAGTAGTTACTGTCCTGAGTGGGTGGTTGGAAGTACAGGATCTGGGGTGAATTACAGTTTTATAGTAGTTGTCTAAGAAAAGAAAGAAATAGAAGGACCATAATTTAAGGGGAGAATTTTTCTTAGATCGGAATGAAGTGATCAAACTAGTAACGAAAGCTGTAATTAAAATAGATTGAATGCTTACAACATGCTTCTTAAACAGTGTGGGAGTAGTTTTGGCCTGGTAGTTTTAAAAGAATTAATCTCATTGAAACGAGGGTGGGAAAAAACTCGAGAGGCTCGGGGTGGGACATGTTCAGGTGGATGGCAGTTGAAGAAGTTCCTACCAGTGGCCTTGATGTTTTTAGTAAAAATGGGGGAAAGAAATGCAAGTACTATAGTGTAGAGGTTCAGCCTCTTTGACCACCATGTTTTCACTCTTTGAGTCACTAACAGACACCCTGTAAGTCAGAAAACCTGATGTTGCTCCGTGTAGTCCTCCATGTAGTAACTACAAATGACCTGGAGACAGGGATACTTTGATCCCAACCCCCACACACACCCACACACATACCACCTTTTCTTATAGCTTTCCACAGCATTTTCCTCTTTTTATATTTGTAGTTGAATGTTTTAGAATGGTCATTTTTAACCAGGTATGGTGGCATACACCTTTAATCCCAGCTCTCAGAAAGCAGAGGCAGGTGGATTTCTGTGAGTTCAAGGCTAGCCTGGTCTATATAGTGAGTTCCAGGCTAGCTGGGGCTACAGGGAAACCCTGTCTCAAAAAGACCCAAAAACAACAACAACAACAAAAAAAAAACCAGAAGACTGGCCAGTTTTTAAATTCATGAAGGAAAAAGATTTTAAAATTTTTATTTACTGAAATATTTTGTTTGTAGGTAACCAGATCCAGTAGTTACACCAGAAAATCCCAGTTCCAGGTAGAAGAGGAGGACATTGAAAAGCTGGAAATACGGTATATGCCTTGAGATCTTACAGAATTCCTTTTTCCCTCTGCCAACCTTAATAGAATTCTCTATAGCAAGTTGATCAATGAAACGTAGAGGAGTAGACATCTAATTTATATCCAAATTATCTTTTCAAAATCTAATTTCTTTTAAGAAACACAAGCATATTTTATGAACAAAGGCAACCTAATCTCATCTATTTTTTTTTTTATTTTCCCTTAATGTAATTGTTCCTTTAATATCTGGTTCATAGTGTAATGAATGGAAAAGCAATTATGTGTCAGTCAATTTAGAAATAATTTTTTTATTCTTCTTAACATATCTGCTGACTATCAGAAATTTCAGTGAGGTAAGAAGATAATTCCACAGGTGCATGTGCTTGAAGTTTGTGATACTTCCTAGGTCTTAAATGCCTATGCCTTTCGGAAAGGAAGCTTTTGCAAATGCATGTGTAGGTGTGGTCTTAACAGTGTGTTATCTAAAGGTCATATTAATCATGTGTTTGGAGAGGTAGGTAATATTTTTCTAAATTATCAATCTATATATTAATTATCAAAAGAAACTAGTCTTGTGTTGGTTTGTTTTCTCAAATTCAGTAAAGTAGCCCTATTGTCTTTATTACCACAATTTTTTTAAACTAGGAAATTTAAGTGTCTCCTTTAAGACTATTTAGAATTCATATTCGTTGTGGGTTTTAAATAAAAGCTGCAATAATATTTTGCTTTTATAGTCTGAATAGTGAGGTATATGACAGTGCTAACATCTCTTGTTTTTAAGCATGTAAAATTAATGCTACAGGACAGATCAAAATAACCTCAAGCTATTCAGCATTTTTTGCAAAAAAAAAAAAAAAAGCCAAGTTTTCATTTTTCAGGATCGACTTGTGGAATAATGGAAACTTAGTCCAAGATGTTTTCCTGGGTGAGATTAAAGTTCCTGTAAATGTACTAAGAAATGATTCCTCTCATCAAGCCTGGTAAGAATACAAATATTCCAGTGAACTAAGTTTAATCCTTTTTAATAAAGAGTATAAATACTGGGACTAGAGAGATGGCTCAGTGGTTAAACGCATTGGCTGCTCTTGCAGAGGACCTGCATTTGGTTCCCAGCACCCACGTGGTGGCTAACAACCTTCTATAACTCTAGTTCCAGCAGATCTGACACCCTCCTGACCTCCACAGGTATTGCACATATGAAATGCACTTTCATACAAGCAGGCATGACATTCCTACACATAAAATAAAAGATAAAGAGAATATAAATAAATGCTTACTGTGAATGTATTTTTAATTGGTATGAAATAAATAAAGATTTGTTGGCATTAATTTGGTTATGAACATATTAGAGAAATATGAATACCTTAAGAGTTGTATGACTTAATCTGTGCTGCTGAGATAAAAGAACTTAGTTGTTCAGGAATGTTTTTCTGTTTAAAAATGAAATCATGGGACTGGAGTGATGGCGCACCAGTTAAGAGCACTTGCTGCTCTATCTGGACCAGAGTTCTGATCCCAGTGCCTATTGGGCAACTTACAAAAATGTCTATAACTCCAAACTTCCAAGGATCTAATGCCCTCTTCTGGCCTCTGTGGGCACCTATGCAAACACTCACACAGACAGAGAGAAACATACACACTCATAAAAATAAAATAAACCCTAAAAAATTAAAAATGAATCTGATATCTTAAGAGAAATGAAAACCATTTAAGACTGCTTGGTCACATTTCAGCATCTGCGTTTCAGAAGCTTTGTTACTGATCACAGGAACTATGAATCATGAGAAGCACAGGGCTTAATGAGGATATGCAGTTCTTTGCAAAAATCCATAGGTGATTTTCCCCCCCATTATCACACACTGTTAAAAATGTATTGTAGGGGCACTGGAGAGATGGCTCAGCAGTTAAGAGCACTGGCTGCTCTTGCAGAGGATCTGGGTTCAATTCCCAGCTCCCACATGGCGGCTACGAACTGTCCTTAACTCCAGTTCCAGGGGAATCCAATGCCCTCTTTTTACCTCTATGGCATTGCACGACATGGGTGCACTCACATACATGCAGGCAATACACTCATACACATAAAATAAAAATAATAAATTTTAAAAAATGTAAGTACTCTTGATGTATTCTCTGATTACTAGGATACTGATGTTAAATGATTCATGAGTTCCAGGGCTCAGTAATGACTACAATATTATTTGACCTTTTCATGTCTTTAGTGGTAACATTAAATTGATGTGAAGTTAAGTTTAATATTCAGACATTAAATTCATACTTCGGTAGTGGCATCAGTTTGAAACTTTTCTGTCTATATCCTTAAAAGCTTGTGTACCCTGTTCCTTCTAGTAGTTAGCTAGCATCTCAGATTTTTATTTCATCTGAGTATGACCATGCCTTGCTCAGTTGCCTTTGTGTGTGTGTATGTATGTATAGGGGGTTGTACTTGTGGTTGTGTGCACATGTAGGTGTATATGCATATATGTGCTTGTAGGGAGCAGAGGTTGATAACTGGGTATTTGCTTCAATCACTTTTCTTAGTTTTTGAGATAAGATTACTCACTTAACGTGGAGCTCACTAATTCACCTAGGCTTTTTACCTGTCTCCACCTCCCCAGTGTAGGGATTACAGATGTGCACACTACTACATCCAGCTTTTATGTGGGTCCTGGGCATCTGAACTCAGGTCCTCACACTTTTTGTGGCAAGCACTTTACCAGCTGAGCCATATCTGCAACCCATATCACTTGCCTTTTAAAGATTACTTTTGAAATTGAAATATAATATTTGTGCTTGCTTATTGAGGAGAGATGGCTCAGCGGTTAAGAACATTGACTGTTCTTGCAGAAGACCCAGGTTCGAATCCCAGCACCCAAATGGCAGCTAACAACTGTCCATTACTCCAGTTCCAGGGGATCCCACAGCGTCTTCTGTCCTCCGTGGGCATTGCACAACACAGGTGCACTTACCTATATGCAGGCAATATACTCATACACATAAAATAAAAATAATAAATATTTTTAGAAAAAAAGAATTGATGAACATTTGCCCCCCCATATACCATATTCCCACTTCTATAAAATTAAACATATATTTTACATTAAATTTTCAGAACCTGGATTTTTAAGTCTTTAATATGCCATACTGTTCAGTACAAAAGAGAAAAATGAGTGGTTCTACCTCCCAGGGCTCATAAAAAGTGAACTTGCGAGGTTGGGGATTTAGCTCAGTGGTAGAGTGTAAGGCCCTGGGTTTGGTCCTCAGCTCTGGGGGAAAAAAAAATGAACTTGAAATCTGTCCCATACAGTGTATTTTCAGTAACACTGTCTCTAGACATGTTTCTCACATTTGACAAAACTAGAACCTTGTATGACTACCTTGGCAGAACTAAGGAACATCAGCAGACAGAAACGGTTTTATTCCAGTTTCTTTATCAGTGGATAAATACTTCATCCTGTCAAAAGTATAAATGCTAAAATCTATGCAGCATAAAATAGGAACACCTATTAATTCATGTGCATTAACATACACTGTAAGGTAATATAAAATGCAAATGCCATTTTCTTTGAATTCAGACTTCTTGCCTCTTTTTTATCAGTTGTAGAGCAGTGGCAGTCCCTTGTGAGAGTGACGGTAACTGCATCAACACTCAGGCTTCACCTTCAGGATTCTCAGACACAGTTATTTCTACTTTTAATCTTGCAAAGGGTTAGAATAACTCTCATTGGTGCAGTTCCAGTGTTTGAAAAGTTTCAATATGTTTTCTTTTTTTCCCAATAATTTCTGATAGTATTTGCCTAGTGTGGTGTTCTCCTAAAAACCAATTTTTGATGGTTCCAATTTAATTGTTTTGAAAATTATGGTAATGACTTGGTCACCTTTCCCTTCCTTTCTTTAAATTTCTTTTGTTACATGTATGTGTGGAGGCACATGCATGTCTATGGGAGTAGGTTCTTTCCTTCTACCACGTGGCTTTCAGGGATGGAACTTAAGTTGACAGGCTTTAGCACCAAGTATCTTTATCCCCTGAACTACCTTGTCAGCCCCCCACTTCTGTTGTTGATGATTTACTTCCCTAGCAATGATGTGTTCTTTGTGGTGATAGTTAGATCAGATGTTAGGATTGTCTTGTTACTGTTGTTATTGGCTAGTTTTTACTTTTCCCTGTATAGATAGTAGAATTTGATTTGATTTGATTTGATTTTTTTTTTTTTTTTAGAATAGGCAAAATATACCATTCCCAGGTCAAAATTTTTTTTTTAAATCTATCTCCTGTCCCCAGCTACTCAATTTGTTGTTTCTAAGGCAGTCATTATTCCTTAGTTTCTGGGAATATTTTGTGTATATATAAGCAAATCCATATGTATCTTTTTCATTTATTTATGTATTATTATTATTTTAAACTGGATGTGTGTGAGTATCCCAGGCTGGCCTAGAACTCACAATCCTGCCTCAATCTCCCAAGTGCTAGGATTATAGACACACAATACCACACCACTAACATCATGCTTTAATTTTACTTAACAGAATAGTGGTTAAGAACATGTACTCTGAGGGCTGGGAGAGATGGCTCAGTGGTTTAGAGCAATGGCTGTTCTTGCAGAGGATCCAGGTTTGCTTCCCAACACCCACAAGGCAGCCACCAACCATCCTTAACTTCAGTTCTAGGGGATCCAATGCCCTCTTCTGACTTCAGCAGGCCTTGCACGACACAGGTGCACTTACACACGTAGGCAATACACTTACACACATACATGCACTCAGAAATCAAATTGCCTTGTTTCAAATCTCATCTCTGCCACTAACTACTGTGTACCATTGGATGACTTGCTCAGTCTGTTTGCCTTTACTTTCTGTGACTGTAAGATGGGGTTTATGGGTGGTACTGCCTCCTAAAGTTGTTAAAAGAATGAAATGAGTTAATATAAAGAAAGTAGCAAGTCCTTTGTCAGTTAGTGTAACTCATATCACAGCATTGTTATTACCACTGTCTGTTACCATTATTCCAAATGAATTACACATAAAATTTCTGCTTTTTTACCCCCATAATGTTCCATTGTTTGGAATGTTAGAGAAAACCTTAGGGATAATCTAGTTAAGTCTCAGTTACCTCAGTATCAGAGAACTTCCAATGTATGCAAAGCCTTTGAGTATAGATAGGTACAGTAATTCCCCCCTCTGAAATATTCCAAAGTATTTTAAAAATGGAAAAGAAGGCCAGGAGTGGTGGCACACTCCTTTAATCCCATCACTTGGGAGGCAGAGGCAGGCAGATCTTTGTGAGTTCGAGGCCAGCCTGGTCTACATAGTGAGTTCCAGGACAGCTGGGGCTCCAGAGAGACCCTGTCTCAAAAAAGACCCCCCCCCAAAATTAGAAAAGTAGATGTAAATATCTTTTCATGTTGAAATTTTTAATTTTGAAAGATTCAAATAATAGACATAAATGGGTTTTTTTTCACATAAGTACTTCATATATAATTTTGAACTAGATTAATATTTTACTTTAAATTATTAATTGGATGCTAGTTTGCCAGTTGGTCATCTGTTGTCCTTACATCATTGAGCAGGGTGTTTCAAAATTTTAACAGATATTTTTACTATTTGAACTTGGAAATTTTTCTGTCTTTAGTAAAAAAAATCCAGTGATGACTATAGAGCTGTTACAGAACTACCTCTGATTTTGAACTAGATTAATATTTTACTTTAAATTATTAATTGGATGCTAGTTTGCCAGTTGGTCATCTGTTGTCCTTACATCATTGAGCAGGGTGTTTCAAAATTTTAACAGATATTTTTACTATTTGAACTTGGAAATTTTTCTGTCTTTAGTAAAAAAAATCCAGTGATGACTATAGAGCTGTTACAGAACTACCTCTGAGGAGCTACTTTCAAGCTTATATAGTATTATATATAATAGTAGT